TGCCCCCCAGTGAAAATTTTGAAACTTGAAATTTCGAGTTAGTCCGAAATACTCCGCCTCCAATTTTACACATTCGAGCGAACATAGTTTCTCAAGCTGCTTTCACTTTCCTCGCCTGTTTCCCCTGAAGCACCTGTAACTGATTTTCAAGCGTTCGAGTGCAAAGCGCATTGAGTATAATGGGCGTGAAATGCTCGTGCTTCGCACACTGCACCCGAAAGCGGCTCTGGAATGAACTAGACAGCTCCCAGGAATCTCTTCTTGCAACACGTGTAAAAATTTGGAAGTTTTGCTCCATTACTTGGAATGACCTACGAGCTCCTAAGAATCTCTTCTAGCCCCCTTACACCAGTTAAAATTTTGTTTGATCATATTCATTCTGTTCTCCGAGTTTCGCTCCGTTTTGCTCCATGATCGGCGAGTTCTGCTCCAAAACCTGAGCCTGAGCTGCTTTCGGGTGCCACGCCTTGAGCAATCAGGCGCTCTGAAGCTGCTCTCATTTTCCTCGCCTCTTTTTCCTGATGCACCTGTACCTAACTAATTTTCAAGCATTTGAGTGCAAAGCGCATCGAGTATAATGGCTATGAAGAGAACGGTGGTCCCTGGTTTCACTATCTTTGTTTGTTTATTCGCACCAACAAGGCACCAACCGACACTTTCTACACCAAACGTGTTTGTTTATCCAAGGTTTATTCCTATATTTTTTTTTTGTATGGGTCTGACAGAGACAAACTGACTTTTTGTTGCACCTGGTGCAGACTGGTATAACTTTGGTACAAACAGACAAACAGAGCCCGCAAGAAGCCCTGTTAGTTAAAACTAATTTCGATCCTTTTTTTTTCCACATGCTTCTAGAAAAAGACAGAAATAGTCTAAGTACGCACTGAATATACAAATGGGAATCGCTTGCAAAAATAGTTATTTATGTCATAAATAAATACCGATAATCAAGCTCGTTTGCTCGAGCGCCCATGTTCGGAGCAGTGAAATGTGTTCCGAATGATTTTATATTGACATGACAGTGCAAATCGATGAGACAAAGATGGCGCCTTTTATTTTTCCGAAATAGCTATTTATGGCGGTGATCTTTTTTTAACTGTCAGTAATGTACCCAGTTACTTTTGGTGACGATGGTATTTGCTGCAAATCGTTCCAAAATCAAAATTCAGTTTACTGATTTACTGGCTTGGCAAGCTTTTGAAATCCACAATGACATATGCGCATTTTCACCGATGTAATGCTGTCCTTGTCATTTGACAGCAGCAAAACAAGGATAGGTTACTCCTCATCAAGAGAAATGCGCATAAGCAATTGGTGAATTCAAAAATTTGGCCTTCCTTCAAGAACCCTAAATCTTAATAGAATGGCTTATCTAGCTGAAAGTGTCTGCCATGTTCACGCGAAAACTCCCCACCATTTGTGTCATTTTGACGTCAATGTAGACCTCAAGACTTCAGTGACGTCACGACTAGTCGAAAAGCGAACGTACGCCTTATGCCTCATTCTCACTTGCGCGAAATTCGCTCTTCTTTTGATATTGTTTCGACAATTTGACGTTTTATGCGTGTATCAAACGTCAAATTGTCGAAGCAATGTCAAAAAAGAGAGAATTTTGCGCAAGTGAGGCTTTATGGGGAAAAGCCATCCTGTTAGTTGAGGGTTGTTGGCCTTCCTTTATCCAATTTTCTTGCTCTTTCTTTCTGTTCCAAACCGTTCCTTGTTCACTTTGGAGCAGAACGAGTTTATCTGACGGCCGTTACCATATTACATTAGTTGTATTCCTTTCACACCTAGGAGGAGCTCCGGAACAGCTCCGGGGCGTCACGCGCTTATTCCTTTCGAAAAGTGTTTGTTGCACCCCGCATCTTTCCCTTTAAAATCATGTTGACTAACACCGGAGCGAGTAGCTCGAGTGTTCCAAACTCTTGAAAGGAATACAACTATTATGAGTATAGTCCGCCGCAAAAATATTGAAGGACCGAAGGAGTGCGACCGCGAACACACACAACTCCTACGCATTATTTGTTGTCCTTTTCTAGTCAACAGGCTATTATAGTCTGGCAAGTGGTAACTTGGTAGAGACGAAAGGGGGAAGAAAAGTGGGGCGTTACCTAAAAATATTCACTGACAGTTCAACTGACACCGCCTGATGACAGCCATCTCTTTAAGTTCAGTGGCACCGAAAACACCAAGGAAATAAACCAATAAAATTATTAGAAAAAAGATTATCTAGTTTCGCCAATAACCACGCCACTGCGTACTGTCGTTCAGGCTCTAACCAATAGAATCATGTTTCTGAATAATCACGCCTCTCCACATCCATCATTTCGCAATGTTGCCTGATTTATTTCCATTTCAAAATCCTACACATGCCCATATAGCAAAAAAAAATATGTCACCAACTTGTTTATTATTTTGTTCCTAATTTCCGTCAAGTTTGGCAAAGCAGCAAATTCTATTGGAGTTCGCCGTTTCGCTAGCCAGACAATAAGTATATCTCGATCGTTTTGGTGGGCTTGCTAGATTCATAAAATCTGTCGCTATGAGTTCTATCGCATTGGCTTCCTCTTCCCCTTCAGAGGTCGTCCGTCAGGATCTGTGCTGTGGACTTCAACAAAGGCGGAACACTCTTTCTCATGGAAACGCTGCTCCCCTGTTTCAAGAATAAGGACCCTAGAGGTCATTCCAAGTAATGGAGCAAAACTCGCCGATCATGGAGCAAAATGGAGCAAAGCTCGGAAAACAAAATGCGCATATAAAAACTCCAAAATTTTCACCCATGTTGCTAGGAGATATTCCTCGTAGCTGTGTAGTTCATTCTAGAGTCGCTTTCATGTGCAGTGTGCGAAGCACCTGGAGCATTTCACGCCCATTATACTCAATGCGTTTTGCACGCGAACGTTTGAAAATCAGTTACAGGTGCATCAAGGGAAACAGGCGAGGAAAGTGAGAGCAGCTTGAGAGCGCCAAACTCTGTTCGCCCGAATGTGTAAAATTGTAGCCGGAGTACTTCGGCCTAATTCGAGAGCGTTGAGCGCTCAAAGCGTGGCACCCGGAAGCGGCTCGTCATGGAGCAAAACGAGCTGATCATGGTGCAAAATAGAGCAAGACTCGGAGAACAAAATGAATATGATCAAATTTCAGAATTTTCACTGAGGGGGCTGGGAGAGATTCTTGGGAGCTCTGTAGGTCTCTCCTGGTAATGGAGCAAAACTCGCCATTAATGGAGCAAAACTCGCCGATTATGGAGCAAAACAGAGCAAAACTCGGAGAACAAAATGAACATGTTCAAATTTAAAAAAATTCACCGGGGGGGACTAGGAGAGATTTTTGGGAGTTCTGTAGGTCTCTCCTGGTAATGGAGCAAAACTCGCCGATTATGGAGCAAAACGGAGCAAAACTCGGAGAACAAAATGAGCATGTTCAAATTTGAAAATTTTTACCGGGGGGGGGGGGGCTGGGAGAGATTCTTGGAACCTCTGTAGGTCTCTCCTGGTAATGGAGCAAAACTCGCCGATTATGGAGCAAAACTCGGAGAACAAAATGAGCATGATCAAATTTCTGAATTTTCACTGGGGGGGGCTAGCGTTAATTCAGCCCCCCCCCACCTAATAGGCCACATAGTCTCTCCACTGTAATGGAGCAAAAATCGAAATTAGTGGAGCAAAATGGAGCAAAATGAGAGCAAAATTATGGGATAATTTTCATCCAGAAATTTTCTTTGGGGGGGGGGGGGCTAACTTAACTGACCCAATTTCGAAACTTGTTATGGAAATGCAAGCTCAGTCATCACATTAACAAAATAAAAATTGACTTTTTGTATTTAGTTACGAAATATTAATATATTTCTCTAATTATTTCTCGAATAAATGTTTTTTATTTATTAATGGGGATCGCGACCTTATGAGCAAATCTGTAAAAGGGTCGTGACTAAACAAAGGTTGGGAACCACTGTTCTAGAGGAACGAAAAGTTGGATTTCAAATTTAATACCGCGATCTTGTAGAGAAGAAAAAGTGACAATGGGAATTTGAAATTAGTTTTTCCAAATCTTTTTAAATGGAATCATGAAAAAATTTAAGAAAAACAAGAAATTCATTTTTTTTGTATAGTTTTCATTTTTTCCTGATTTTATTTAAAAAGATTGTAAAAAACTAATTTTACATTCCCATTGTCACTTTTTCTTCTCTGCAAGATGGCGGTATTAAATTTAAAATCCAACGTTTCGTTCCTCTGGAATCATCATCAATTTATTTTTTTTTAAATACGGACCTGCTTTTTTTACTGTGTTATTGAAAAATTACAAACAGTATCGGTTTTAGGATGCCTAAAGATCACAAAATCGCAAATAAAAAATCCAGGTTCGTATTTAAAAAAATGAAGTCGAGGATGGCCGCCTGAAGACGAATCGTCAAACTTTAAATTTAGTAGCACCATCTTCTAAAAGGAAAAACGTGACAATGATGGAGTGATATTTATTTTAAAATTGCTCTTCAAATAAGCCCGGGAAAAAATAAAAACGATTTTACAAAATTTCGGTTTTTTCCGAATATCTCTGGAAGTATTCGGAATCTTTCTAGTTTCAAAACGGCATTCTATTGGTCAAAAAATTGCGCAACTTTGCCATAATTTAACCGACCCCGTATCTCTTATGGTTACCGAGATCCCAATGATGAGGCTCGAATTTGGGCCACCCTGTATGTACTTACTTCCGGCTTCCACAGATATTTAGAATAATAAAAGATTTTGTAACTAGAAGTGTTCAAAATATCAAACTCAATTTAGCACGGATTTATAGAGAATTTAATGCTCTTTCCAATGAAGTATAATTGATTTTAATATGCTCGAATTTTAATGGAAATATTGACAATTTTTCTTCACCTTGTCATAATTCAAAAAAAAAAAAAAGATTCATAAACCAAGATCCCCATACTTACTCAATACCATTAAATTTTAAGTTGGCCTGTATATTATGGCATTTAGTTCAAATACAATTCTTACCGTATTCGTTTTGGCATTTTGTACAACAAATTGAGCGGTAGCCTGAGATGTTTTGGATGTTTGCCCAAAAGAACTACTATTATTCGCAGCTAATTTTTCCAATATCAACGAATTGGCTTGATTGGGACTGGCAATATCCGGCCTATTAGCGGCCGGAGTTCCCACTAAAAGAGCAGCTAAAGCTGTTTCGCTGTTATTGCTACCGTCTTGATGGGAGGAAACTAGCCTTTGATGGACAACCTATATACATGCAAAAACTAAATAAAAAATTATTGAAAAAAATAAATATATATATACCTGTTGTTTTACAGGCATTGTAGTATAACTATAGCTTCCTCCTCCAGCACTATTGACTGGAGTTAAGGTAACAGTTTGCGCTTGCCCGGAAGCAAGTTGAGCATTGAGGTTACTCAAATTCACTCTGGTAGCGTTATTTATAGCTGCAGCTGACAAAGTTACAGTTTGCGCAGGTGAACTGGTCAGTTCTTGCAAGTTGGCTCGGTTGTGGTTGTTGAGGGCTATCAGATTCGAGTGACTGAGAACCTACAGTTCAATGTCAGTAATGTTAAATTTATTGGAATTATTGTGGACTTACTCTAGCTCCTGCTGTATTCACTTTTCTAGCCAATATTCGTTGTTGAGGCACCACGCTGGCGCTATTTATTGCATTGACTACCGCGTCGCTATTTACATTGCTTGCCGGGGAACTATTGAGCAAACTAATGATGTTGCTGTTGGATAACAGCTTTTGCTGTTGAGCTGCAACCGCTGCCGCCGCTTGTTGTTGTCGTTTTGCTTTTTCTGCTTGAAATAATTCAAAATTATGTATTTGTATTTATGATCTTACAATATTAGAGAGGAGGTTGTGGAAATTTTTAATTCAAACCAAATTAAATCTGAAGTTTTCTGCACTTTTAAAATCGTCGACTTTCTCAAAGTGTTTAAAAAAATTTGAAGTCACTCTTCACAGAGTCTACATATAATTATCCGATAATAAAAAAGAAATTGAAATTTTGTGAGTTTATGGAAGAAGATTAGGAGTAGGTATCTTATACCAAAATCCCAAGTTGATTCCTTTAAAATTGGAAAAGAGTCAAAAAATCAACTTTAGCAAACATTCAATTAGAGACATTTAAATTTTTACTGAAAATCTGATAATGATGAAAATTTGAAACTTTGTGAGCTTATAGAAGAAAGTCAAGAGTTACTTATACCAAAATCCCAAGTTGATTCCTTTAAAATTGGAAAAACCCAAAAAAAATCAAGCTCTGATGAATTTAGAGGGACTTTCTATGTGCCTGAAGCTTCTTCCGCCAAAATCTTATAAATTCTGCTCACCAAAGAAAAAAGTTTCTAATGTGGAACAATCATCTAAGGCCCAGTTTTACAATTAGTGCGGTTACCTGCGCTGGTTATGAAACTCATAGTTGCGGCTTGACTACATGTCTTTCCTTTTATTTCCCAACAAACTTAACGCTTATTACAGGGAAAAAATAAAAATAAAAAAAATTTAACAACCATAATAATTGTATAAAAAAAAATAATTTGATTCAAATAAAGCCTTGATTAAAATATGATAAACTTTTATATAATAAAAAATGATATTATCAAATAGTCAATTAAATTGAATAAAATGTTTTTTAATGTATATTTTGAACAAATGCAAAGCCTTTAAGAGGATATAAAATTCAAAATAAGCTCAAAACAAATTTTCCCATGTTTCTAGGAGCAAAATTAAGCATTTTAACTTATTCATGGCGCTCTAGATTAAAAAGTAAAAATTTAAATAATTTGGAGGTGAAATGTCAAAAAGTGACAAATGAGGTGTCATTGTACTCTTAATGTAGTTTTCTACTGAAATGAGGAAAAATTTACCCAGCGTCTCATTTAAAATAAGGAAGTTAGGGTCACTTCCGGTCAAACCGGAAGTGATAGTAAAAAATTGAATACGTCAAATAATGCACATCCGGGTCATAAATAAACAAACCAAATTTCATTTGTTTATTTTAAAAAATAAAAAAGTTATAGGGGTGAGCGGGTTTTGAAAAACACCCGGTATATAAATAGTTTAAAATGAGAAACAGTACTTAGGTAATTAGTATAATATATTTGAAAGTTTTCGTAAACTCATACAGAAGGAAAACACTATCACACAATGAACAACAGAATATAACCAGGTGGGGTTCAATAGATAGCTTTTCAGTAGGTCATTGTTTCACGGAAGGAGAAATTAAAAAATTCCTCAATAGAATAAAATGCTTGTGCAACCAGAATTTCCTTTAGTGCTTTTCGGAACTTGCCAAGATCCGACCTGGACAATAGGCTATCAGGTAAGTGATTATAAATCTTTAGGTTGTTGTAAATAATTGATTTTTGTACCAGTGTGGTATGAGGAGTAGAAAGAGGTATAGCATTTATGTTTGTTTGTCGTGTGGTTCGAGATCTCTGGGTAGCTGGAAACAGATGAAGATTTTTATGTATTAGACTAACAGTTTCTAGAATGAACAGTGAGGGGAGAGTTAGGATTTTATGGAGTACAAATAGTGGTCTACAATGAGTTCTTATCGGGGCACATGTAATGAACCTTATCGATCTTTTTTGCAGTTTAAAAAACAGAGTCAAACAAGTATTGACTACAACATCCCCAGAAAGGTAAGCCGTATGCAAGATGTGACTCAAACACTGCATGATAGACTGATTTTGCAATTTGTGAACCTAAGTGGGTAGCTACGGCTCGGACACAATAACACCCTGAAGCGAGTTTTTTGCTTAGTGATAAGATATGTGATTGCAATTTTAGACTGACGTCGATCTGAAGTCCAAGAAATTTAGTACTTGTGGAAGATTTAATTAAGAACTGATCACAAACAATATCATCCATATTACAGCGAAAACCCAGTACTTGAATCTTGTTAAAGTTAAAAAGAAGCCCATTTGCGTCACACCAGTGTTTAATTTTAACCAGATCTTAAGAAATTATCCGAACCAACTCTCGCGATTCCCCTCCATGCCACAAAACCGTTGCATCATCGGCAAATGCCGCAAATACTCCTGATATGTCTATTTGTAATAGGTCATTAATATAGAGCAAAAACAGGATCGGTCCTAAAACCGAACCCTGTGGTACTCCGTGGTCAATAACCTGGCTAGTGGAACATTCGCCGTTCACCCTGACACACTGAGTGCGGTTGGTTAAGAAGGACTCGAACCAATTTAGGACAACTCCCCTAAAACCGTAAGCTTCCAGCTTTCGCAGCAGTGCTCTGTGACACACACAGTCAAAAGCCTTGGAAAAGTCACAGAACACCGCTGCAGTAGCATAGCCATTATTGTAATGTTTGAAAAGTTGCTCCATTACTTTAAGCATTGCGTCGTGTGTATTTCTTCTGGGAAGAAAGCCAAACTGAGCACCATTGAAGACATCATGGCACATCAGAAAATCCATCATGCGTTTTTTGACAAGTTTTTCAATAATTTTGAATATTGTTGACAATAATGAGATGGGCCGATAGTTTGCAGGATTTTTTGTGTCCCCATTTTTGTGAATTGGAACTACCGTAGCTTTCTTTAGACTTGCTAGAAATGATCTCTCCAGAAATGATTTATTTATGGCATAAGACAAAACCTGTAATGCCTGATCAGGGAGGTCACTCAAGATTTTAGCAGATAAGCCATCTGAACCAGCCGCGTTTTTATTTTTAATGGATTTTATTGTCAATTTAAGTTCAGTGGTATTTGTTGGTATAAATGAAAATGAGTCTGGTACGCGTAGATGTTCGACGTATGATAGGGGATCGGTGTCAGATTGGATATCTTTAACTAGGTTCGTTGCAACCGAGCAGTAATGATTGTTCAGAGTGTTCGGTTCAATATTTATATGTTGGGGTTGAGCATTAGTTTTTCCAGTTAAGTCTCGGACAACATTCCAAGTGTCTTTAGAACTATTCGATGAATTTTGTATGCGGTTCTTGTAGAATAGTGTCCTCGCGTCGTGTATTAGTTTTCTGTAGTGTTTACGATAGAGAAGGTAGTAGTTATAAATAAAGGCATCATTGTTAAAATGTTTTCTAATGATATTTAGAGACCTTAGATTTTCCGCGGATCTTCTCAGACCTTTAGTAATTCAGTATTTCTTTTGCGCAGCGGGCGGAGAGGAAATGATTTATTTACAATTTCAGTAAGTGTCAGATGAAAGGACTGAAGCGGGTCTTTCGTAGTATATGTGTTATTCCAGTCAGCAGTACTGCACATTTGCCTAAAGTGAGTGAAGTTTCTTTTACTGAAAATCCTCCCGCGATTTTTATGAGTTGTGGCTTTGGTTGAAAGTGGAAAAGAAGCTAATACAGCTTGATGATCAGACAGCGCAGGATCCTCTGTATAGCAGTCAACTTCAACTTCACTATCCAGATTAGAGCATACATAGTCTATGGTTGTGGAAGAATTGTTTGTGATTCATGTGGGTTCTTTAACATGCATCTTAAGGTTAAAAGATTCTAGAAGACCAGTGAGCAAAATAGTAGATTGTGCTTCTGGATCTCCGAAATCGATGTTGAGGTCGCCAGCAATTATGAGTTTGGTTTTTATTGGAATGTTGGATAATAAAATTTCAAAATTTTCAATAAAATTGGCAATGTTGGTGTTTGGAGCGCGGTAAATGCATATGACATAGGTATCTAAGGATTTGGAATAAAAGCAGGGAGAATTCAAAGATCTTCTCGATTATAAGAAAATCGTACTTGCTGCAGTTACAGAGGTCACTGTTCTCAGCCAATTCAGCACTTATCAGAATACCAGTGCCCCCATGTTCAAATTCATTTCTGCAAAATTTCGATAATGTATAGTAATTTGGGATAGATAGTGGTTCGGAATCTTTTAGCCAGTGTTCAGTAAGCAAGACTATATGAGGAAAATTTTTACTTTCTAGATAAATAAATAAATCGTTTGTTTTATTTCTAGCCGACTGGATGTTAAGAAGCATAAGATTTATGGAGTTTGGTTTTTGAGACAAGGGGGATCTTTTATTTGGTCTAGTTTCTTCCCTAAAAAAGAGACAAAGTCGCTGGGATCCAGACTAGTACTGTTACAAACCCTGGATTCCCCACCCAGATTACAGCTGTTGCTCAGCTCCTCAAATAGAGAAACAGAATGATTAGTATTATTCAATTCGCAGATATTTATGGTTCTGTTTGGTGCCTGTGGAGATCTATTGTGCGAGGATCTGTCAATAGGCAAGATGGTCGATTGGTTTGATAAAGATTTTCTGCTTATTTGCTGTGACAGCTGAGTTTGTAAGCAATTTAAATGGATGGATTCAGCGACCATTCTACCAATCAACCAGTTCCTCGCTTTGTATCCCTTGTCAGTGTTAACATCCACAAAATCAAAATTAGTATCAGAAACGTTATTAAGAGCTCTCACAACCTTTTCTAAATTTATGTTAAAATGGCTTATGTAATCATTGTTTTTATTTTTTTGTACCATTGGAGAGGCTAAAAATATGAAATTGGTATGTAAGCAATGTTTTATCGTTTCATGAATCGTGATATATTTGGGTCGTACACCTTACTACTACAGGATAGCCCTCAGTTAGCTTATCCTCATAAGACCTGTGTAGAACAAATCTGACGCCCCCCACCCTACCAAATCATCATTTGTGACGTAGGCAGCATGTCGTTTCTCTTCTTGACGTAGGCTGTTTGCAGTTTGCACCACAGGTCATGATTCCGCGGGCTTTTGTTTTATATGCGTACTTGATTTTACTACATTAATTAACATTCTAAAACAACTATTTTTTAGATCTC